TAATCATATAATATATTTTATGTAGTAACCCATCACAAAAGAGCGACGACACTGTTCTAAGCAGAACTCGTGAATAGGTCGGTAAGTGATGTTTTCTTGCAGTAGTATAATAAAATATTTTACAAATACAATTTATAAAATGATTTTTACACAGGGACATCAACACAGCAAAGGCACCCCAAAAGTTGTGCCCCAAATCTAGTGATCGATAGAAAGATCTATCATATCCCTTAATATATGCATTACTAGTTTCTTAGGCCAAATTGAAGGCATCTACTTTTAATATATGTGGCTAATAGGATTAAGTTACAAGACAACATTTATACATATCTATCCTTAACATTTTCTTTTGTGATATTGATCTTTTACTGGGTCTAAATATGCAACATGATGCAGCTACTATAAGCATTTATAAGAGAATGCAGAAATCAGAACCCCGGATTGAGAGTCAAAAGCACACCACTTTTCTTATATTCATATAAAATCGATAGATGAAAGTACAAAAGCAAAACAGCATCCACTCCTATATTCTTCAATATGTTCTGTATATGAACAACAAACCACGACTTTGGCATTATGCACTTCATTCAGTATTCAGTGTTACCAACTAGGCCTATAAGATCTAGCTATCGAATTAAAAGGACAACCGCCAAGTTATCTTTCGTGTGCGTCACTGCTCATTCATTGATCCCGAAAATACGAACCTTGTGCATGTTTGGGAATTTCGCAATCACCAAAATGGCCACTGCAAGTGTATTCAGGAAAAGCATCAGATGTTGGTAGTCGGTCGTGTGCAGAGCCATCAGGTACCTGTGCAGATTCAGAAAGCAGGATACATGATTTAGAAAGAACATATTATGTCGATTTAAGATATAGAAGAACGGGCAACATTAACCGATTACCTTCAAATGCCTAAAGCATTAGATGCTTCTTTAAAACAATTACAAATAGTGTGCATCATGATTTTTTGTGGTCACAGATATGCTAATTGGCCTTACTGTATCAGCAAGAACCAAATTGAGAAGGGAAAATAAAGAAAAGAAAAACCATGCACGAAGCATGCAATATATCCATAAAATAAAATGTATATACTAGTTTACTGGAGTAATATTCAACAAACACTGTTGTCCTTTGCAAAGAACAAAATAATTGCTAGAATTCCAGCATGCTCAACCACTCATTTCAGAATTCAGAGAACCTGATAAGTTACGAGTAAAAGATGATAAAATGGCAAAAAGATATTTCAGCATGTCACAAATGTACTCGTAAAATTAAAAATCAAAAGCTCATTTTAGCATTGCATAAAAAATAATTACCTCTTAGTCATCTATACTAGCCTTTAATTGTCTATACTAAATATCAAAAGTTCTCTCCGACAATTGGAGACATTGTGTCAGTTTTGTGAATGTTCAGACATGGTTTTAAATCTCCTAGTATACAAGGAAGTAAATGCGGTACATATCTGACCAATGGATACCAATATGCCAACATACCCAATACCAGCTGTAGTTTTAAAATTAAATTAACATTTAGTATTATCTTTTGGAGTGTACCAACTCTACACACAAGGGTGGTGGTTGGAACCTTGGTAATGTGTCATGATTGAATTTGTCAATCAAAGAAAAGGGCTTCTGTTGCAGTCAATACTCAATTTTTGACTCAACAATATCCTCTTAAAATAATCACCAGAAGGACTTATATTTTATTAAACAGTCAAGAGCTGACTAGGGTGAAAACTGATGCCTTACTCGGTTGTTTTGATTTCGTTGGAAACTTTATACAACCAGTTAACAGTCTTAACGTTCATTATATCACTCCAAACTTTAGACAGTTTTATCAGTCCAAATGTTATGACTGGTTAACAGTCTTAATCTTCGTTTTATCAGTCCAAACTTTAGCGAGTTTTCAAACTTGTAACTATAGAAGAACATGCAGCTTGCGAAAGGAAAGTCAAACCAAATTCAAGTTCTTATAACAAGTTTAAATATTGTTCACCTATGCCCAACTTGTTTGCATCCTCATCAGGGTAAAATTGAATCCAGGTCAAAATATAAATTATTTAAAATAAAAACACACAACAAAACAAAAATATACAATAACATATATTTTTTTTTCTTATTTGACATCATGATGTGCCAAAATTAGACTAGGGTCAGAATCTCATGATCTCATCTTAAACATGCATACAGAGAGAGCTAGACTGCTTAAGAGAATTTAAGCATTGAGCCTCAAGGATTAATGGTGGTCGATTCAATTTGTAGTACACAAACTTCTAGTGATAATATGAGATGGGGTGTAAATATGCTAGGAGTGACGAGAGAAAGGATTGACTCTAATTACTTCAAAATCCCAGCTCAACCATTTTGACGCATCGGGGGACGTGGTAAATGCAAAAATCGGACCATCTAAAATTGATGCATTCGGATGTCCTAGAACCAACATAAAATTAATTTCGGCAGAACTCAATTTAGTTGGGCAAATTTGGATTAGTTGGTGGGTTCAGATCAAGGATACTCATTTCATGACATACTACAAAATTTATAAAGTTCGACTAGAAGTGTGTTACCAGATGATGAAACCTAAATTTGAGAGAAGTGTAGGTTTGCATTATATTAATTAAATCATAATGAAATCCAGAAAATCTAATTTTAGATTCTGATTTAGAAGTTGCAAAAGTGTAACAAATACGTTTTCTTGGAGTGGCCAATAAATAAAGATCTCACGTTCACATGTTTGGATGGGTTTTAGTGTCAAAGAAACCAAGAAGAAGATTCCATGAAAAAAAAAATCAAATAGTTGGCTTTAAAGGAGTTTGATAATGAGTTGCAGCAAGTCCTGAAAGAATTACACTAACAAGGTCAGGGCAGCAGCTTGATTGTCCCCTTTTATGTAGAATTCTAAGCTTGAAAAAAGTCTGGATATTCATTCAACACAATGGTGTCTGGTAGATTGAAACAAGCATTGTAAGTTATTTCTCTTACCTATGGATACTATCATACTTGATTTCCCCTCCTGTCTTTCGTCTATATATCTTCTACTTGCATATCTCTGTCGATTCTGCTGTTATAGTATTGCTGTTGTTAATTAAGATTAACCTGATCAGAACCAACACTAATTTCAATTATCTTTCTTAATGTGTAATATTGTCATGTTCTATGATTTGTTACTAAAATTTGCTGCGAAAGACCATCATAAAAGGTATAGTTTTCTGGCAGTAAGGCCAACTTCAATAGAAGGGTTTATCATCTCTTCCTTTCTCTTCTGTTTCTCCATTTTTCCACTATTATTCTAATTATTGTCACTAAATTTTCATATTGACAACGAAATCCTTCTAGAAGCAATATATGCTATTTCTAAATCTCAATTAGTCTTAATAGTATAGACTGCACCAACTTTGTTTTTGACTTCATATACTTCTGGAGAACAAAGGTATATAACTTGTTCATTATGCTTCTAAGGTTAAGTGATAGTTAATGAAGTGAGTTACACCTCAATTTCAAGCATCATTAAGTACCCTCATCTATCTAGACAAATTATTGCCAACAAAAGCTACATACACAGCTGATGCTAGTGACTCGTGAGATAGATGGCAGTCCCTGGAGTCTAGGCCCTTGTGCAGTACAAATCATCTTTGGCAACGTTCGCAATTTCATACCGTACCAGATTATCGAGATCAGCTCGGTATGGTACGATATGAGTATACCGAGCGGCACGTTCTGGTGTACCGCTTGGTGTGTGTGTGTGTGTGTGTATATATATATATATAAGTTAAAAAAAACTGAGGTTTTTTTTGCCCGCGTGGGGAGAAGAAACCGAGATTTCCTTCTCCCCGCGCAAAAAAGGACGACGAGGCAACGGCGCCTCGTTTCTTCTGCCTGCGTGGGGAGAAGAAACGTAGCCTCGACGATGCTCGGTTTCCTTCTCCCCATGCAAAAAAGGGCGACAAGGCAACATCACCTCGACGACACTCGATTTCTTCTCCCTGCGACGTCGCCAAGGCTTCTTCTCCCCACATGGATGAGGAGAAGTCGCCGATGACGCCGAGGCCTCGTCGCCTCAAACGAGGAGGAGGCGACATCTCATCTACGACGTCCAGCGAGGGAGGGCGGCGACGAATCGAGATCATCAAGGGAGTGAGGCCCGGATCTCCAAGTTCTCCCTTTTCTTCTCCCCTTTCTTTCTTCTCCCTCGGCTAATACCAGTCGGTAGTGGGCAACGACGGTCGAAATCGACCGTCATCGATCAATTTTGGGTGGTAACGGGGCGAAAACATCCCTAATCGACAGTACCGCCAGGTAGCGAGCGGTCCATGTATAAGTTTGTTGGCGGACCAGTACGTACCGCTTGGTATAAGCAGTATTATTCAAAATTAAAATCCTTGATCTTTGGTATATTCAATTAATTATCCTACAAACTAAGGTTCACAATTTCGTACTGTACCAAGTATCGAACTTAGCTCGGTATGGTACGGTACGAGCATACCACTTGGCGTGTATATATATATAATAATAATAATAAAGTTAAAAAATAAAAAAGGGCGATGTCATCTCGATGGTGTCACCTCGTTTCTTCTCCCCGCGCGAATGAGAAGTCGTCGACGATGCTGAGGCCTCGTCGCCTCAGACGAGGAGGCGACATCTCATTTGCGGCGTCCGACGAGGGAGGGCAGTGATGGATCGGGATCGTTGAGGGAGAGCGACGTCGGATCTCCAGGTTTTCCCTTTTCTTCTCCCTCTTCTTCACCCTCTTCCTCCTCCCTCTGCTAATACTGCCCGGTAGCCGACGACGATCGAAATCGACCGTTACCGATCGATTTCAAGCGGTAACGGGACCAAATTAGCCACAATCAACGGTACCGCCCGATAGCGGGCGGTTCGAGTACTAGTCTGTTGACGAACCGGACGGTATCATTCAAAATTAAAATACTTACTACAAACTACACATTACTTACCTCAGTGAGCTCACTAACTTATATACAATCAACGAACTATTCTTATTCGATTCGCCTCATCTAACTAGGGTATCTATAGATCTCCTATTGATTTGTTCATATCATCTTAAACAATTTCATTGTATTCTATTATAGCTACACCTAATTGTTTATAAACATAAAAATTCATAATCCTATCTTTTCTACTAACTCCAAATATTCGTCTTAACATCCTCATCTCAACAACAGCAATTAGAACCTTGGACTATATTTCAAATATTAACTGACTCAACTCTAGACCAATTCCACTTACATCTTAAGCTATGCCAATAAGCTTCCACAACGCAGTCCTTGATGCATTCTGTGTAATATTATCCATTTTCCCTCAGCCTACATTTTATTTTGATGATCTCATATAAAAGACTGATTTGACTTCCTGTTGGTTGAAATTTTCATAAATTGCACCAGCTCTCTTTGATTTCAGTTGCAGATATGTTGTTTCATCATTCTGCGAAGCAGACCTAAGAATCTTTGGCTGACCTATGAACCTTTGATCAAGATTAAACAAATCTTAGGACCATTGCTTTGATAGAGGTTAAATGATTAAATTCAACAAAATGCTCTTACACAAGGTGGCTACACAATCGCAAGGATATAGCCATTTGAATGTATAGTTCACCTTCTAATCATCTCCAGTTCCTGTTACCAGATATAACAGTTGATCCAAAGACACTTGCGAACAAACTGAACTTATACATCAGTCTATGAGACCTCATAAAAACACCACAACTTAGTGAAGAAATATAGTAGAAGAAACATAGACAGAGCAAGTATAATTGCGAAGAAAGAATGATGGCAATCATTTCACCAAGCTTTCTCAGATTAAACCTATAATATTATCCAACTTATAACATAAATAAGTTGCATAGCTCATAAATAAATAATTTCTAATCCTAATTTAACTAAAATTATATTTGTGGAGAAACCATAAAGGAAACTCATATTGACTATTTATATATATCCTAAAGACAAAGGCATACAATCATTTTCTTAAGTAGTCATTTTAGAAATCCAAAGGGTAAAGTGAAGCGAAATAAATATTTAAAGGATAGAAGTTGTCATTTATATTCAAAACAGATGAAGCATTAATAGCCACCACTAGTTTCATTCTATTTAGAACCTAATTAAATTCTAGGCCCCTTCAATGTAGCTCTCATGACTCTTTAATGAAGAAAGTAAAACTGAATATATGTACCTGATCAAAGAAAGAAGTTATTCTAGAATTTAGAAGTCAATACTCTATCAAATCACAGCACAATGCGAAATGTGCAATAAATAATTAGTTAACTAATGTTCACTGTACTAGCTTTAGGTAAGTAGAAGTAAAATAGAGTTTGTGAATAATTAGACCTCAAAGAGCTGCAGAAGATATCCAGAATGCATGAAAAGGCTCAGCATCTAAGTCTCACCAGTTTCTAATTGCAATCTTACAAAAAGAGTACACAATGTTTGATCATAAATCTGTGATGTTGACTAAAATAATGTTCTCAGGTAACAAGCTTCTCTAGCTCTAGACTCTTCCTCAATTTAGGAGACACTTTGATTGTTCCTTCTGGTTGCATGAGCAATAAACCACAACCAATAAATTAAATTCCCATCTGTCAACTGGACTATTAAGTTATTCAGCAAGTTTTTATCTTGTCTTTGCTTGCATTGGAATTCCAACAACTTTAGCAAGTTGCCATTAGATTGACATTAGAATATTAAATCACAGATTTACCAATAGCCTTTCAGATTTCAAGTTATGATCTATTCTGAATCCATATTTTGAAAATGTCAAGGACAAAATTGTTAACATATGGAGGATCCATGATTGAAATATGCTCAAATACTATAAAAAAGAAACCAGAAATTTGACTTTATGGGGATGCTAAATCTTACTGGAGATAGCCAGATTTTTTAAGTTGGTTATTCTTGACTAGATATTTGACCCAACAATTATCTGAAAACTACACCATTCATATGCTAAGAAGACTTTAAGGATCACAAAAGACCAGTACCACAAAATTAAGACATAAAAATATGCTCAACAAACATATGAATCTAAAAAGTTCAAATATGTGTCAACTTACTCTACCAAAATTATTTATATGAGCATAATTTAAATAAAATCTATCCTTGGACTGCATCAGTAGGACATGATGTCAATTGAAACAAGAACAAATTTCTGATTATCAGGGTGAAAGAGAAAACATATAGTCATAAATCTATGGGATGCACCAGCAGAAAATGATCACAACCAACATAAGAACATGTTCCTCATAACCCAGGGTGAAACAGGACAAGTATAACTGCAAATTTTAACAAAATTTCACTAGATAAACCTCATCTGTAATGGAACAAATGGAGAATAAATAGGTAGAGAGATAAAACTCATTTGGAAAAAGAACATATGAAGAATGAAAACTTAAGAGATGTTGAGCAAATAATCTAAAGGAAGGCCAGAAGACCAAAATCTTTAGTGAAAACATGCTCAAAGAAACCAATTAAATTCCAAGTTGAAGAGAATGATATAGCTAAGGTAAATGCACAAGTTTCAGCAAGGTATGCAAGGTCCAACAATGATGACAACCAATGGCACAGATATAACACCCTAGACATAAGAATGACTCTCTTTATAACGAGCAACGTCAAATGCTCTAAACAAGCATCTTGCAGCTTTACTATCATTGAGTACATATTGCACATATGTACTCAAATTTTTCTTTATTTATACCAATATAACATATGACATGTCATAAGCATATTTACTTGCAAGGAATAGGCTTCCTGGTGCTTGGCATGTCATAAGAATGCCCAAGTTTGGCTCTATTGGTTGGAACAAGAAGAATGACATGTTGTCGAAGTCTTAATATTTGTGGCACCATATCGCCTAACCACAGAATTAGCCGTTGATACAGATGGTTTTTCATTAGTTTTAAGTCCAGGACACGTATCAAAATTATAAGCAATAGAGATTCAGAAACATAGCACTCACAGGACAACAGGTACAACAGTCAAAAATTTCCTGTTCCGTGTTAGTTGCTTCCCATTATCCATCTGCTCCCACCAGGTCAAGTTATTGTAGATGCCCTGGTCTTCAGCAAAGGGAGTCCCCTTTTTCCAATGAAAGAAGTAATAGGTAATCTGAAAAACAATCCAGACAAAATGATATCAGGATAGGCAAAATGTCAGAGAGGTAATCCTGCACAACCAACTTAAACATGCAAATTTCAGAGAGAAGTAAACCAAGAAACACAATAGAATGCACTACTTCAAACAGAAATGACAAACATCTAAAGTAATCAATCAATCCTGGTTGTATAGAGAAATAAATTGATAAGAGAGTCAATGTAACTTCGACTTATCAGGTTCTTCATTATTCACCAAAACAACAAGCAAGAAACATCCTAGCTTCAGAAGGTTGAGCTGCTCTAAAAGGCCCATAGCTAATGACCCTTCTCAGGAGAATTACCCAAATTTGGTCAATATGCAATCTGACACATTCAAACAGACTTTCCAATTCTACCAGATTATGGGATGATGCTTGACACACACAAAAGCAAATGCTCAGACTCCGAAGCACAACTGTTGTTAGATGGAATTAACCATGTTGAATCACATGAGAATATCAAGATTCATGTTCTACCGCCTCAGAAATGAACCACTTCAATGCATAGCAGAATTACACTAATCAAGCAACGGGGAGGAAAGTCGCCCATTGAGGATTATCAATGGCCATTGCATTAGGAACAAAAACCTTAAGCCCACTAGTCCCCCAATGCATCAGAGCAAATTTCCAATAACAAACTGATTCAGTGAAGTTACTCATCAAAGACAAAGAGAAGTGCCAAAGTTACTTTTGATGGTAACATTTGCAGTTGTCCACATGCCTCCTTCGATACCTACTACCTCATCGACCATCATCTCAAGGCAGATTCGATCCTATATTATAACTCAACTGCTGCAAAAACTTTCTAGATGGCAAAGAAATATGCCTATGGAAAAGCCAGCATAAACAATAAGTCATTACCGAGCTTGCCTCAGGTCAGCATAACCTAAAGGAGAAACTTTTCAGAAAAAAAGACCACACACATCAACTAATACAGTTGAAACGCAAGCGTTCAGTGTGGCATTGCAGATTCCAAGCGCAAAACCCACAAAAAGAATGGAAAAAAAAAAAATCAAAGCCATTGAAATCTTCCGACCAATTCTACATTCACCAACAAAAATCCAACTTTCGGAAACTAAAACAATCAGAATCCAAAACCTTAGCTTTTTAATCAAAACTCGAAATGGGATCTTCGACATTCATCAAGGAGAAAAAAACGAAGAAGAAAATAAACATCTGACAAAATCAAGTTCACAAAAAAGGGGAAAGATGAAATCTTTGGGGCGAGGAAGGGAAAAAAAAAGAGGCCGGATACCGCGAAGTGGAAGAGGTTGACGACGGTCCAGGCCATGCCGGGGGTGCAGCGGAAGACGGAGAGCACGAGGAGCCAGGAGAAGAAAAGGATGAGTATGTAGGTGCTCCAGACGCCGGGGTACATGAACCACTCCGTGTTCTTGTTCAGATCCGGTGGAGGCACCGTCTGCACGTAGAGCTTCGCCATCGTCCTCGCCGAGTGTGTTCCCCTTTCGAACTCTGCCTTCGAGTCCAAGGCAAAGGCAAAGAGAGAAGCGCGAGCGACGGAGAAGCGAAGTCGAGTTAGGATTAATATAGATCAATAGGAGAATGGCTTTTGGTCAAGGCGTTGTAATTGGACTTTTGGGTCGGTTGATTTCGTTCTTCTCCGTCGGCGTCCAGAAAAGAACACATCTAGCAGAGGAGATTAGACGGCAAAGGTTGGATCTTCGCCCCTTTCTTGTCATTAAGGTTACTACTAATTACTGTAAATTATTTTACATATCTACCCTTGCAAAGTTCCAAATATGCCGAATTTATTCCTATACAAATTAATGCAATAATGCTCACAAAATTCAGATTACCCTTTGACTATTTGTGGATGAAACATTGAATACTACGCTATAGGAATAATTTTCAAGGCTTTTGCAAGGATTAAATTTGAAGGCTTAGGTTGTATGACCAGTAATGTGATGACAATTCAAAGGCTTGAGCAATGAATGAGATGTGTACCATGTAGCTACTAAATTTGGTGTAACACAACAATAAATCAATATGCATTAACTATATAAAATCTACTGTCTTTGTTGAGACATCTCTTAGAGTCCGTATAATAATGTCTTTTTGTATACAGTTTAATGCAATGTTTACAGAAGAAATTAATTTAAAAAGCTACTTGAAATCGACTACATTGACTCTTTATTTTATTTGTTTATTTATGAAATCTTTGACTATGCCTTTTTATGACTTTTGTAATTAAAAGACCCACTCGTTTCTTAGAGATTACTTTCACATTTCTAGGATTAGAAAACATCAGATCAAATATATTAGAGTTGGTTTATAAGTTAATCTCATATGTTAATGTTTGATCAGTCTTGACCAATTTACTCATCTAAAAAATATTATATATATATATATATACATATATATAATATTCACTAACTTAATTTATTAGGATTCTCAACACTAATTAAAAATTTTATTATAATTAAAATTTGATTTAATATTCGAACACTGTCTAGGATTAATCTTGCATTATTCTGTTGGATACTAATTTTCTAAGTACACATCATTCCACACAGAGGAGGAAGCCTTTATAGCAGGTAAACAATCATAATCATCAAACTATAAACTTGATGTCACTTCATAATTATTAAACAATAAAAGCTGTTGGTTTCCATTAACACGGTTGATTTGATGTGTTAAATTGACATGGGAATCCCTAGCTTATTAATAGATAAAGGCAATGAAGCCACAGTACTACTAACCTTGCAGATGCACAGATGCTTTATTGACAAAACTCTATATGGACTGCTTTGAATACTCTCACATCTAAGAATGTAATATTTATTCAACATTATATTTCAGGATGGGACAGTATAAAAATGATGTGGAATGAGAATTTTAGAAGAATTTCATGTTTATGCAGCAAATGAAAAACATGTACTGTAGAGTAATGCAGAGTTTTGGCTTTCAAATCTGGTTTTGATCCATAATATATAGTGTGAGCATGTCCATAATATAGAGAGAATATGTTCATAATGAATATGATCCATGTAAGAATTTAAGTAATAGAAAAGAAGAAGTGCAAGAGTAGCTCCCTGTTCTGCCTCAAACTTATCATAATTCAATATATATCTAAATTTAAAATTTAAATACAAACTTATCTTACCAAAATCAAATCAGAATTATCTCTGACAGTTTTACAGTGTGAGATGGTAAAGGTAGACTGATTAACCTAACCAAGTTTTAATTACAATAGTGAAGAAAAAAAGATATGCATTTATTTCAGTTCATCTGAGGTGCTGATGCTGATCCACCTGGGTTTTAGGTAATTGTGTTTGTGAAGGGAATAATGCATGACAACATCAGAAACCCTAATGCTGGATTGTAGTTTACAGTCCACAAGAAAGAGCACAAGAGTTGAGTGTTTGGTTGGCCAGCAGCTGCTTTCTTCATTAAATGCAGTTCACAAGTCAAATATTCCTTCATAATTGTTGTGCTTCAGCTTGTTAATATGATTAGGATATTAATTTTTTGGGTTAAACAATGGAAAACTCCACCAGTTACATGGGAGATCATTAACCTATTAGCTGCCTCTTCCAGCAGCTTTATGTAATATAATGGGGTAATTTTTACCTATTTGTACTATTAGAGCAGTACATATGGGCACAGATATCCAGCATCGTGCAATCAAATTGTGCAAGTGAAAAGCTCCACATTCGCGCCAGTTGAACAAGGGAAGGTGTTCAAAATTCAAAGTCAACCGTTTTAGAACCATGTATGAATGCAAGTCAGTCAGTACCCTTCTTGTGTTCCCTCTCACGCTCCATATTATAATGTCATTTAGAAGTGGACATGAAGGAAGGTATACTCTTCAGCATCCTGACTTCAGTTCTATCTTCTAAAGAAGACTCTGTTCAACACTACCACAGATCCATAAAAATGCAGCACCGTACATAATATTATTACTTGATTACCTATAGTTTTGACTTCGAGGTTATTTATGCTAGCTTGCATTCTGTCAGATGGAAGATGAACATACAGAAGAAGAGTTCTCGTGTTGACCTGGAACCGGGTGAGTGACGCCTTGTGGCCGTGCCAAGTGCGCAACGCTGCGTCGACTCTTTCTGGGAAGTCAACCAAGCTGCAGTTGACGAAATAATCTGTAGACCATTAAAAGTTTTAATATGATGCCAAGTACGTCCCAGATAAGAATGTCTAGCTGAAGTTTTCTTCTTTCCTTTTTTTTCGGTCAATCGAAAATATACGTATATTGTATTGCCATCACGCGAAATAACCGTTGATAGTTCTTTCCAGTTGACTTGATTGTAGCCACATGATCCTTGTGCGTGTGAAAACTGAAGTGGAGCATCGTATGGATTGAGTCAAACGCATCATACCTTGTAAGACAGGCATGGATTGTGGCTCTAGTCAACGGTCCGCTCGTCGGAAAAGTCTTCTCCGGCTTGCTGAATGAGTTACAACTCGGAAGCAGACCTTGACTCGATCCTTAACGCCCATTGCAAGGGAAGAGGATGGTGGTCAAAGTCTGCAGGCTTCCATGACCATGGGTAGCACCCATCTCGAATCTTCTCCTTTCTCCTCCGAGTTGCTCGTCTTCCAACAAACTTGTCAAGTGTCTCCAACACCTGCTATCACATACAAGTTTCTTCAAGTGTAAGTTACTCCATGTCCAAAGCTCAAGCTGTACACAAATTCTTAGTGGAACTCGAAAGATGAACCAATGAATGAAATTTAGGAAACAGTAGTTGGAGTTGGCAGAGAGGTCGAGCAAGATGCATCAAGAGAAAGAAGGGGACATTTGGTCACCAACATCAAACAACTCCACGGGTGTAGCAGAAGGTTGAGAGGGAAGTCCCCAAGTAGATTTGTATTTGACTGTAAGTCGAGAAAACCACAATGACTCTACAACATAGCTTTGCCAAGCAATAAAGCTAATGAGAACTTGACAAGTGGACATTTATGGTAGATTTCTTTTGTTTATGATATCAACTTAAATGCAGTAGGAATCCAATATGTAATCACCTTCAGTGTGTAGGTATCAAAAAATAAAATCGAGGAAAATTGAGGAACAGAGAACAAGCATGCAAGTTTCCTTGGGATGCTTAGAACGTGCCTTTTAGTTATATTTGATGATACACCCAGATAACTTTAACATAAGAGATACTTCAATTACTTACTTTGGTTCATGGTACAGAACTCTCATCTTACAGAAAGGTATCATAAAACAAGCAATAGAGGAGGAGGAGGAGGGGGGGCAGCAATATTAGGTATACTATGAACACACAGGATGGATATGTAAGGGAAATGTATGAAGAAAATGTGAAATGGTTTAATCAAGCATTATAATGGATTCAGCCTAAAGAAAAATGTGAAAATGTGAAATCTACTGATTGTCTTCTGCTTATGCTTTTTATAAGATGTTAGTCCTAAAAAAATGTCATTGCTAAAGGATTACCTGTATAACAATCATATATTATTGATTGGGCTGAGAGTGCATGTATAGTATTTCAATGCTGCATGACACTTTATTATGAATGAAGCATCACAAACATAAAGTTAGATACAATGGTATGTCAAAATTGTATGCTAGTCTCCAAAATACTAAATGGCGCCATTTCTGCAAGAACTTAATTGTCAGATAGATTGATCAAAATCCAGATGTAGCTTTTGTTCATGTTTCTTCACCAAGTGAGATCATTTTACCAGAACAAGTTTACTGCCACAAGAGAACATTTCTCTTTGTTATAGTGACAAAAGAACCAGTACAAGGGAGTCTTAACATGACTCACTGAGATTTCTTTGTAAATGTGCTTCGATGGATCATTTTTGCGATAAAATTTGCAATGTGACTCAACTCAAAAGATGTTTCTATTTCTCTAATAGAAACCCATAATGCTGTAGTTGAGAGAGTGAAAATTAGGAAAGGTAATAAAATGTTCAAGCTGGTTAAAGAAGAAACATAAGCCACTGACTGAACAACATTCTTGAAACAAGTCAACTGATACTCATGATCTTAACTTTCTGCTCTGAAATATTTTTATGAGTTTCCTATATTTCATGAAAGAGATACAGAATCTGTGCTTGATGAGAATTCACTAAAAAAAATAATGTTTGAACTAATAAGCCAATGAGTTTGATAATCTTATAACTGATCTCCTAGGTAGCATATCAATTAGTGTAATCCTTGTTCCAGGTGTCTAAACCTTTAAAAGAACTCATTATTTCTTAGTCATGATACCATGTGCTATCTTCTGTGCTATCTTCAAGCATTTACAGATCAGAAGCAAGTTATCTGAGATTAAAGGATAACTTAATTCACATGATCCATACCTTTCATAAGTCAAGGGTCCTCAAAGGTAATGAAACCTATTACTTGTTAGTCCTGTGGTGGCATTAATTTTCTACTGTCTAAAACCTTTCTGCACTATTTCTATATCTAGTTTTCTGTTTAAAAAAATACAATTAAAAATTTTGATGCAGATTTTTTTCCCACTTTTGCTTTTCAATGTAGTTGCATTTATTTCTGAAATTTCCCCAAGTAGAATTGTTTCATGTCCATTTTTTTTCAAGCAATATTCCATCATTTTGAACCTCTTCACCAACCAATGATCTTTGCTCAATAGTCATGTGAAAACAGGATATCTGATTTCCAAACAACTTATGGTCACCAAACATGTTAAAACAATAGGTTAATACAAAGTACAAACAAATACAACATTTTCCACTTATCACATCCAAAAGGACCAAAAACTAGGTTTGCAAGGATCCAGAGAATTAGATACATCATTCCATTATTTATAAGATAACAAAGAGAAAATGTCAAGGTATACTTTAGTAAAACTTGTCAAACATCAAACGAAAGCCAGAACAGAATGATCATATAGCCATGCCAAACAAAATGTTCCAAGAAATATACAACCAGAACAGACAACTAAATTGAAACTTGTATAACCCAAATTGAACATGGCTAATCAAATAGCAAAACATGCGAGCTTGGTGAAGCATGCATGGCTTGGCTACTTCTCATAGACCAATTTTCCAAATATGAAATGTGATTTCTACGCGTTTCCAGCCAAAACCATGAGTAAGCCACAGGAGTGGCTGCTAGGAAATGGATTAGTGAGCACCGTATTGCATTCTTGTCTTTCCATTTGCCTGTCTTACCCACTGGCAAGGCAACAAAACAGCTAGATAAGTAATGCCCTTTTCAGAAAAAGATGAAGCAAAAATACCTAGGAGTTCCATGAATAGCCTATCTTATCCTGTTTCTGGCTAAGACATTTTTATGAAAAATAAGTTCTCTATCTTTTGATAGATGATCAGGCAAGCCGTTAATCCAACATAGATGGCAAACAGTCTTCACTTAAGAAAATGTGAGAAGAGCATGTTAATTGTAGGTGAGACAAGCAAATTAATTGTTAAAACTTGTATAGGCTAATGAAGAAAACATGGTCTAGTCAAATAGATTTTGTAAGCATGTCTCCCATGCTAATGAAGCAACATAACAAAACTAGCTCTTCAATAAACATTATATAAGCAAGTCATAGTATCTTATGAAGAATAAATGAATAAATGAGATACTATTACGATATAACATAGAGGTGACGGAAGGGCGAATTTGGGGAGAAAAGATACAATATGGATGTAGAAGAAAGAATTAAATATAATTTGTATTAAAGCGATATTTATTTTAAAAATTAAAATATGAATCCACAGATCATGATAAAGGATAAAAGAGTAAACAATGAGTTCTGCCAAGCTATTCATCAAGCAGTCACTTAAAATAACATGATGCTAAAGAAAATAGAGGTGACAAGAACTTATAGTTACGATGAAACCATTATGTACAACTTCATTAATGTGCTTAACAACAAACAACATCAAAGGACTAATTTGCAACAAAAACATGGTTCTCATGAGAGTATACATGAAGTATTTCCCAAGTATCTAGGCCATCTATCTTTTCAAAAGGCACCACAAAATCAGATACTTGAATGAAGTATAACAACCATCCAAGGAATATGAGTATTTATGATTCGACATGTATCAAGGATGGACATGGAAAATTTTCTCAAGTATTAGTGATTCATGGATAATGAACCTATGAGAAACATTATGATATACACTGTGTTTAACATATCTTCCAGGTTTTATTCACTATTTAAGATCAGTTGTTTCAGTAAATTAAGATAGGACAATCACATCTATAGTGACAAGTTTAATAATTTAAAACTCATCTCTAAAGGAAACAAAGAAGGTAGTGTTGGGGCCAGCCTAATTCTATGGTGGTAATACTGATCGAATGAATAACAAAGTTTGCTTCTGGGCTACTTTTATCACACAGTTTTACACGAGCATAAAACTAAAAATATAACTCTCTCAGATAGTTTTGTCTATTATTCAATGTACATTCATGGTTGCATGACCAATATTGACAAATGTGCATTATTCACAAAGATACCAACAATAGCCAGTAAACAACCTTCACAAGCAACAAAGAAAGCAAGAATGAATGATTAGCAGGGACAGAGTTTACAAATATGTACAAAGACAAACTGTGCGGAGGATCTATCTGGTACAGATGACTGTGCCAGAGGAACAGAAGATCCATACCCGATGTAGCTACCAATTCTCCTTGACGATCTTTATTTTCTCAAAGACAAATTTCCCTTCCTTGTACCTTTGTGTCTCCTCGTAAGCTCTTTCGTACTTCCAGCCCAAGACCTCCCCGCAGTCGTGGCAATATACATCAGCAACCGTGTGGATTCCTGTCATGAGCAGCCGATCTTGCTTCGGCCCCATGACTATGTTCCTCCCATGAGAAAACAGAAAGGCACGACCATGTCTCCCCTAAGTCAATTGTCAAGAAATTACCAGATATGAACACTATCTTCCACTAACACTTAGGGTCTCAACATAACGGAAGACACATATGATACCGAAACAAGAAGATTACTCTGCAATATGTTCTAAAACATGAGCAAATTGATCATGTAATTCTCAAGCGAAGTTGTCATAAAAGAAAGAAGAGAGACGCAGATACAGTACAGGATTTACATGAAATGCTTTTGATATGATATCATCGTGAAGGCAGACATGGTTGCCACAATTGCTGCAGCTGTAAACTCGAGGCCCAACCGATCCTTCCATCGCTAAGGCAGCCCAGCCGTTCCTCCTGACTCTACCGACAGGGCAAAGGAGCTTCAATTCAAAACCCAATCATGCATCAACACAACAAACACCAACCCCAAATCTTCAATCAAACAACCCACTCAAAAGAATTCCAAGTACCGAAGACTCACTCAAGTGATCGAGACTGCCCTTCTTCTGCCAAGGAAGGATTTGATCGCGGCAGCTCGGATGCCTGCCCAGAGCAAAACCGCGGGCGAGAAGTGACATGGTTAGGTGGAGTAGAGTAAACTAGCCAATAGAGAAAATTACATGCGATAGAATTCGGGGAAGAAGGTTACTCGAGCAAGAAAGAGGGGAAACAATGGTGGGGATGAACGCGATGGAAAGGGAAAAAACCTATGTCGGGTCGAAAGATTAAATAAGGAGGGCATCAAGAACTGGAGTGAAGAGAGGAGGGCTTGAAGAATCGGACGGGCAGCAGAAGAAGGCGACAAATTCGTGCAATCAATCAAGATTATGTTGCATAAATTATGTGAGACCGCCGATGTCGTAACGATCAAGTAGACCCTCACATATATTTAAACTTTGAAACGAGGAAGAACGTTCATCTGAAATAGGATGTTGTCATGACACATATCCTGGTCCAAGTTCAAATTGAAGTTTTTGTTCCCGTTTTGCGTGTGTTACTCTGTTAATATAGGTCGAATCCTGGATGAAAAAGATACACAGTTATATTAAGTCATTAACAATCAACATAAAATTATTTTAGATCTTACGAATATAGATCATAATTAATTTCAATATAAAGTTAGATCGAAAATTATCACCCATTATATCTGGAAATGACGTGAAATATTTTCATCACCTAGATATCCCAAACCATAAATGGATCATTATATTGACACCCGGATACGGTGCTAAGTAAGGATTCTCTTTCTTTTAGATCAATGAGAATAAATAAATTAGATCAAGAATAAATAATTAAGTCATTAACTTAGAATAAGAAATACTTTCATATTAGAATTGGTATACACTATGATCAAATAAATATCTTTTGTTTATAAGAGACTAAGCACGTACAAAAATATATAACACAGAGATAATGTAGAAATTATTGTTGATAAGGATATTAAGAACAATGTTATAGATTTAAAAAGATTTGAAGATAAAATTATAATTCTAAATTTATGAAAGAACAAGATGTTTTAAATATTTCAAATTGGATTAGATAATCAAGCCAAAATTTTTTTTGGAAAAGCTTGGATAATATAATTCATGTCTATAATAAAAAAACTTATACTTAAAAAAAGATTTACATGATTATGTGGGAAAAAGGTATGATAAAAGTGAGAAATAAAGATGATTACATGATTTTAGATCTTGTAACTTTGTATTATATTATAATTATAAATACTCACTTTAAGAAAAAAAATGAATGTTTAACTACTTATAACAATGGTAACAATTATAGTTAAATACATTTTTTTTACTAGAAAGACATATAAAATTATTTATAAGAATTATAAAATTATATCTGACGAAAGTTCGATGAATCAACATAGTTTGATAGTATTAGATATTTACTATAAAAAACATGAGAAGAAAAAAAAATAAATTTACTACGATCAAATGATTAAATTTTAAATATAATAATATAAATATTCTTAAAAATAAGATGAAAAGAAAGACAACTTAAAACTTAGATGAGGATAATATTAATATTATTTGGACTAGCATAATTAATAAGATTAGAACTTTAACATAGGAGATATTTAATAAAACTAAAGGTAGAGTTGTAACCTTAAGAAAGAGTTGGTGGTGGTATGAAGAAATTTAAAAAATAATTTTTACTAAAATATCATGTTTTAAAGATTAGTAAATTATAAAAATAAAAAATTTAAAAGTTGTAAAGAATCTAAAAAAGAGTCTTAAAAAAGTGATTAGTATGATAATGTATAAATCTTATTATAATTTTTATAAAAATTAGGTAATAAGGATGATAAAAAAGATATATATTGAATTGCCAAGAGTATAAAAATAAAAGGATTTAGAGAATATTAGATACAATGAAGATCAAAGAATACTTGTTAATAAGAAAGATTAAAAAATTATTTTTATAAATTATTTAATAAATATTTCATACAACACTTAGATTTAATGATAAATAATAGTAATAGATTTAATAGTCATACATTTATTCATAAAATGAAAGCTAATGAAGTAAAGGACACATTAACAAAAATAATAATAGTTAAAAGTGTGGGGTCTTAAGGTATTCCTATTTAGGTTTAGGAAAGTATGAGAATTTATTTAATAAATTTTTACATTAAATATTTTTATATTGAAAGCTTATTGCTATAACCTAATTGTGAATCTTAGAATTTGAATGTGAGTTGCAAAAATTCATGTTTGTCTATATGCACATGTATGCTTTTATTATTTCCTGTGTGCATCCTATACACACTAACTTTTTTGCTCACAATATTTTTTTTTTGTACTTTGGTATTTGTAAACTAATATGAATATTTACCAAAAATGGGAAAAAGAGTTATTAGTAAAGTATGTGATATTTTTGTCAGCCCAAATGATTTTATTCAAATATGGGTCAATGAAACTTAGAAACGTGAGAGATTAATATTAATAATCATAATATTAATAATAATCTAGAAATGGATGAATCATGCTATGTTATAATTTCACTTCATCCTCTATGTTTCTTTGACTTGCATATATTCCTATGTGGTTTTTGGATATGAATAAAATAAATAAAATGTCAAATGTGATACTTGAGCTTATATTTCATATTTATTTTTGATATACTCTTAAATGCTATGTACTTTGATATGCTTCTAAATACTTTGTAACTTATTGATATGCTTCTAAAGTCTCTTTGCTTTATTATTACGAAGGAATTAACATTAGTATCAACTCTATTCTTAAGCTAATTACTTTTACCTTGATATTGAGTAATTTATATGCTGTTTGTTGCTCCTGTGTTACGTATGCTTATAATGAAATGAGATATATGATTCTTATATATAATGAAATATCATCTATGATTCTTATATTCATGCATCACACCTTGATTTTAAAGCCACATAATCTATTATCCCTTCACCTTATATATCTTAGTCACTTTGCTAAACTTTATAGTTCACCCTATTGTTATATAAAATTTTTAACTTAACTTATCACTCACTGTAATATTTGTTAGGATCGGGGTCGGCACTAAGAGGGGGGATGAATTAGTGCAGCGAAAAAATCACGTCTTCAAAAACTTTCGTACGATAAAATCTGTTTACGTTGAAAACGATTTCGAAAACTTAACTTAAAAGCATATGGAAGTGTAGTGACTAAGTAGTTTGTAGTATGTAAATGACAACAATAGAAATGCAAACTAGATTTTAGAATGGTTAGGTCAACGTGACCTACATCCACTTTCGGCTTCCTCCTCCGACGAGGTCATTGGCGTCCACTAGAGGCCTTCCTTCAATAGGCGAAGGCCAATCACTTTTTACACCCCTCTTCTTCTTTTACCGGGTTTAGGAGATAACTCTTACAAACACTCACTTACTCCTCTCTCTCAAACAAGTCTAACACTTAGAAGAGGGAGAGGAGATCACATAAGATTTTAGCAGCGTTTCTTTCTTTTTAAATTCTCTGTGCTTATGTGCTTTAACCAGGGATGAGAGGGGTATTTATAGGCTTCAAGTTGATTCAAACTTGGAGCCTAAAACTTTCCCATCCCAGGTTTCCCGGGCATTGATGGTACCATCGCCCAGGTCTATCGGTACCATCACCTGGGGGGTAGTGCTGGGCGGTACCACCGCCTAGCACCCTGCTAGGGGCAGTATAATCGCCCAGACTGGCGATACCACCACTTAACGTAGTCTCGAAGATTATGCCACGATGGTGAGACTTCTTGGGGCATTGTTTGGGCCTCTTATTGGGCCCAACATAGTCCTTACATGGGCCTAGCTGACCCCTAACTGGGTTGGCCCAAATCCAAACCCAATTATGTGTTAACTACGATTCCTAAGATATTTGCTAAGCTAAACAAGTCCCTATGTTTTGGTTTTTTCTGACGATCTTCTGGCGAACTTCCGACGAACTCTCACCAATGTTTCAGCGGACTCCCAGCAAGCTCCTGGACTTCACGACGATCTTCTTGGCGAGTTTCGATGAACTTCTCTGGCAAGCTCCGAGACTTCTCGGTTGGTTCCGACAGAACTTCCGACGAACGTCCGAACTTCCGACGAACGTCCGAACTTCCGACGAACTCTCAAACTCCCAACGAAATCGCGTCATTGACTTCGGGACTTCATTTTGCTTCATGCCTTGCTATCGTAGTTAATCTTGCATATGTAAAACACACTTCGATCTAGACAATTAATACTAAGCATTAATCATGTTGTCTGGCATGTCATTGTCTCTTAACGCTTCGTCCAATTCTTCGACACATCGTCCTCTCTTGCGGCCTATTGCCTAATCGACCAGTTAACTCCATAACTCCGATATCCTTGACGCAATATCGGCTCTTCTTGACCTGATGCCCAAATCCACGACCCAAAGCCTTCTGTCGATACGTTGACCGATCCACTGGCTCGACATCCAATCTTTTGACATGTTTTCCTCCGGCACAACATGATTCTTCCTGCTTTAATTGTCTCATCCTGATCGAAGCATCTAACGTCACTAAAAATGCAGATCAAATCATAAACAATTATCAATTGGTTTCATCATCAAAATACGAGATTCAACAATCTCTCCCTTTTTTATGATGACAACTAATTGATGACGGAGTTAACCTTAACTCTCAGAGTTTAACCAAACTCCCCCTATCAATATGTCATATTGATAGAACTCTTGGATTTAAAAATCCAAATAAATATGTCATGATCAAATCATGCATAACATCAACATACTTCTCCCCTTTGTCATCAACAAAAAGGAGAAGTACCACTATCAAGTGTTAAAACATACAAGTTCAAATCATTGCATGAAAAATATAATATCAAGTTTTATCATCATGCAATTTGAAGCTAGAAAATTTAGCAAGTGTTACATCATGTTAGAACATGCAAGCTATCAAGTTTTAGATATGCAAGTTTTGTTGAATCTCGGATTTTGATGATGAAATCAATTGATGGGTTAATTGATCTAATCCATATTATTGAGTTAAGTATGCAGGATTAACTACGATAGCTTGAAGACATAAAGCAAGTCTACCAGAGTCAAGTTCGATGGGTGTTCGAGAGTCCGTCGAAAGTTCGAAGAATTGTCGGAAGTACTGCCACCAACCGAGATGTAATCAGGGACTTGCCAAAGTTTTCGGAAGTCCGCCGAAGAGATCGTCGGAGGTTCGCAGAGATCACCGAGAAGGTTCGGCTACTTGCTAAAGACTC